AACGTACAGACCACTACAAGAACGCCCAAATTCATCCAACTAGAAACTTTTCTATTCTATTTTTTTTCAGGGGCTGATAGCTGGGCCAAGTACTGGTGGTTTATGAACCCCATTGGCAACCAATGGCGAGAGACGGTTAACGGGGGTCCAAATATTCGTCGTTTTTGTTGGCAATTGCAGTGCGCATTTCATCAAAATTTTCAAAAACAAAGGATATGAGACCATAGTGCAAACATCAAAAAAGGAAACAGGCCAAAAAGAATGAAAAAAAAACAAACAAAAAAACCCTATGAAACCCTAACACAAAGACACTGTCCGAGTCAAAATGAAGCGTCCAACGAATTCAACAAAATGCCAACTTTTTCATTATTGATCCAAACATGTTAAAACTGCACACATGGCGTACCCCAAAGCACATATCTATCACACACACAAAAAAAAAACAAGAAAAAAAGCAAAAAATCAGCATAATGTGACAGTTTCAGTGCAATTCGGTGCAAAATTCGTCGAAATAACACCCCTGGTTAACCGCATTGGCATGAACAACCAACAAAACCTTGGATCATAAGAACATTCAGACCGAAAAAACCACCTGCCTTAGTGCTTCCAGCAGGCCAACCCTATCTGCCTCCCCCTATGTCCTGATACTCAATCTCCACCAGGCCTCACACCCCCAACTGCTAGGTTACAGAGTGGCACGACCCACCCCAGAAACCCCCCACTTGCTAGGCTACAGGGCAACGCGACCCGCCCCAGCTCCGGCCAGCATCGACTGAGTACCAGCTCGCAAATAGACATTAGAGTGCCTTCCACCCTCGACAACTCCCCAGGTCTCTCTACCAGGTCTCATACCCCCGTGCAGCTCGAGTTACAGGGCAGTGCGACCAAGCCCCAACACCGACCAGCGTCGTTTTGGCCTCGTCCATTCACAAACCACCGGGACCAAGGACATCAGCAGATAGCATCCAAGTCCCAATCATCACCATAGCTGTAGTTCTGATCATCCAGCTGCTCCAGGCACTGGTTGCATCAACCGACAATATTCCTTCTCAACCCTACTCTGGCAAGACTTACCGCAGTAGAGCCACCATCTCCACCGCCGCTGTGCCCTATTCCCACCCTACAGGCTAGCCCCTTCGCCGCAGAGCGCATTATTTCCAACCATCACAGCCAATACAACCCACTGCAACCAACACCAAACTTATAAAGATTCCCAATGGAGATTCAGAAGGATTCTTTTTTGTGACTCTACTGAAGTTACCCCTTTTTTAAATCTGGGCGAAGTAATGGTGATTTAGGCTTGGACCCCTGTGGCCGGCGGCTGGAAAAGGTACTCGGCCGCCAGTTTGTGGCCAACATTGGTGGAAAGGAATTGGCATGTTTCTACTCGACCCCACCGCCGATTTCTGGCGGGGCTTCGGAAACGGCCAGGCTTGCCGCATTAGGAAACCGGAGAGGGGCCCCTCCCGAAAAGGAAAGTTCGGATGGCCTGCATGGACCAGCGGGCATGCAAACCACCAACGGCCTGTTTGGACGATTCGTGCGATATGCACTTCAAGCGCTGTTTTTCGCCCTGGTCCAGCCTCAAGTCCTTGACGCCCGTGAACTGCACCACACCTTGCTGGCCCCCGATGCCAACCGCCGACACTTTGCCCTCCCTGCTCTGCTGGAGGCCATTTTGGAAAGGAGGGCCTGTTTCTGGCGGAGACTTTTCCAGCCGCCAGCCATGTAGAAACTCGGCCAACTGTGTTTCCAGAACTGCAGTGGGGTATGAAACCGAGGTTGGCATACCTCTAGAAAACTTCCCAAGCATGCTAGTGGTGTCTGCTCTTATCAGCACCCCTAGCATTCACTCGGATTGTTTTCTAAAAAAAAAAAAAAAAAAAAAAAACTTCCTGCCGGCCCAGTGGGGCCTGAAACCGCACTTCCACGCCAAAACTTTTCCAGGCACCGGCCAGTGGGGTCCAAGCCTTAGAGGAAACAATAAATTTCGTTAAAAAAAAAAAAAAGAAACAAGAAACACTGGACCCACTTTCGAGCTGGTGCTGCTCCCCACCAATACCCCACCAATAGGTTGGAGCCATCTCCAAACGAGAGCCTATTATTGCGGCCTGCTCAATAGAATTTTCCCAGATGTTTCGCAGGAAGTTTCAGGGGCCTGTTTCGCCAGTTTGTTTCCCAGCCATTTTTCTCTGACATGTGGCCGCAAGTTTCAGTGGACGCTGGACCAGATTTCCAGCAGGTGAAGCTCCCCACCAATAGACTGGAGCATCCGGGAAGCCCTGCTGCTGTAGGGGAGAATGCACGGGCCATCCCTCCTAGGAGGAAAACTGGGTTTTGGGGGTCGGACTACTGGAGCAAACCCTGCCGGAGCAAAATGGGTGGTGGCGTCAACCAAAAGAAGACCTGGGTCAGCTCCTTTGTTTTTTTTTTGTTTTTTTTTTGTGCGCAGTGCGTTCGAGGCTCGGACATCCGTTAAAATTGGAACGATACAGAGAAGATTAGCATGGCCCCTGCGCATGGATGACACGCATAAATCCAGAAATGGTCCAAAGGTATTGGTGGCATGTCCTTGTCAACTGTCCCTGGGGCCAAGTCCCACTAGCAGCGTTGAGCTACCTCAACGCACGAATCTGGACGTCTTCTGTGGAGAAGTGCAGTTCAGGAAACTCAACACTATTTCTGCACATCTCCCCAAAAGCGTCCAGATTCAGGCGTTGAGGTAGCTCAACACCGCTGCTACAGTGGTGGGACTTGAAGTAGGCTAGGAATGATGAAAGATCTGAGAGAAAAATGTAGCGTACTTTTTTTTTTCGTTTTCTTTTTTTCTTGAAGAAAAGGCAAAAAATAAAATAAAAAAGATTAGGCTCGGGAATCACGCACTACCCCCCCTTTGTGGCTGAATGGTACGCATACGGAACTGCTAACGTCATGAGTTCGAACTCTGCGAGGTCGGCCGAAAAAGGAGATTCTGAAAAGAAAGCAGTCGTCCCGAAACAGACGAACCAGCACGTTTGGGCTGTACATAGCCCTGTTTATGGTCACATTCGTTCACGAACAAAAGGTTTTGTCACTTAGCCACATGGCATACATACGATTCGGATTACCCAGGATACCCATCACACCCAGCGTATCCAGCAGCATACCCGCCACGGACTGCAATTTTTGTGCCTGTATGGAGCGAGCGATAGACGGAAGCACTTCTCGCTTGTTGGCGTTGTTAGCTAATACAGGACACACACACACACACACACACACACACACACACACACACAGTCTGACGAAACAGTCTGTTCGGTACAGTCATGCATTTTTTGAGTGTATAGCGAATATGACAACACACACACACACACACACACACACACACAGAGAGGCTGCCGGTGGAGTTCACCTCTGCCTTTCTGGTGGCTTTCACAACCCAGTGATTATCACAGCTTTCACAAGTGAAACCCGACGACGGTGTGCTTGTCGTATCACGTCACAAACAAGCACCCGACGCCGTCGAGATTCACTGTACATGAAGGCTGAGAATCACCGGCCGATGTGGAGGCGCTAATTGTGGGCAAACGGAAGGTGAAGGTGAAGGTGATCTCTCTCTCTCTCTCTCTCTCTCTCTCTCTCTCTCTCTCTCTCTCTCTCTCTCTCTTCCGCTGTCTTTCTTCTGTCTTCCTCCCCAATTATGTGTCTGTCTCTCAGTCGTTCGACGAGCAAGGAGCTGACGAACTTCTCTCTCTCTCTCTCTCTCTCTCTCTCTCTCTCTCTCTCTCTCTCTCTCTCTCTCTCTCTCTCTTTTCGACGCCTTCTCTCTTCTTTGTTTCTCTTTTGGGAACTTAGCTCGCCGGCAGGGTGGAAATCTGTGCTACCCATCTTGTCTCCGGTCTTTTCTGGCACAAGCCAATCCCTTGTATCGGCAACGAGAGGGGAGTATAGAGGAGAGGGGGGTGTAAAGGACAAAAGGGGGTATAAACGACAGCTGAGGGGGGTATAAACGAGAGGGAAGTATAAACGGCTGTATCTTTAGGAGCGTGTTCGGCAGCAGGTTAGGTTTTTCTGTTTCCGTTTTTGTTTTTTGCTTTTTGTTTTTTGTTTTTTGTTTTTTGTTTTTTGTTTTTTGTTTTGTGTTTTTGGAGAGGGTGTTTACGAGCAGGTTAGGTTTTGCTTGTCTTTTTTTTTTTTTTTTCACCCCCCCGACCCTCAACACCTTGCTTCAGCCTCTCGGCAAATGGGGAGAAAATGGCGAATGAGTGTATCTGACCGCCTTTTATTTCGAGAGATGCATTGGTCATTGTTCCTCATCTGGCCTGTGTGGTGGAACAAGGCCCTCTCCCTTGTGTGACCCCCCATTAGAAGATGATGAATCGCTCTGTCAGTCCTCGATTGTCCGCCTAGTCTCCGCCAACCTTCCGCCAATCTTCCGCCAATCTTCCGCCAATCTCCACCAGTCCCCGCCAATCTCCGCCAGTCTCCGCTGATCTCCGATTATTGCTCTCGTACAAGCATATGGTTACATCTCTCTCTCTCTCTCTCTCTCTCTCTCTCTCTCTCTCTCTCTCTCTCTCTCTCTCTCTCTCTCTGTGTTTCTCTCGGTTTCTCTTTCTCTCTGTTCCTCACTCTCTTTCTCTCGTCTCGCTATGTACGTACACACGCGTGGGCGCGCACATGAGAGTAGCAGAGCGCTGATTTCTTCTGATATGAATTCTGTTTCCCCCCCCTGCCCCCCTTCCCCTCCTCTAAAGTACAGTGTTCGCTTGAACAGCAAACCCTCCGGCGTTTTTCTGAAACAGAGCTTCCCGCCTAAAGATAGGAGGTAGGTCATCTAAGCAGGAACGATCTAGCAGTCCCGTTAACGTATGTGCATACTTCACTTTTTTTTTTTTCGTATGTGTGCATACATTGGCTCAATTTGGCTGTGAGGTGGTCTAACCCGACCAATCTCCGACGGATGCGCACTGCCCGGGCAATTATCCCATTACCATGACGACACGGGAGCACGGAAATCAGGGTGGAGGAGGAGGAGGAGAAGAGGTTCAGCAGCAGCGGAGGCGGAAAGAGCAACAGGAGGCGGCGGGAGACATAGAAGAAGAGGGAGAAGGAGGAGGATGAGAAGTATAAGACGGAGAAAAGGAACAGCAGGAGGAGGAGGAGGAGGAGGAGGAGGAGGATATGGAGGAGGATATAGAGGAAAAAGAAGAGCAAAAGGAGGAAGAACATGAAAGTGCGGGTGGAGCGGAAGATGAGGCTCAGCAGCAGTGCCTGCGCCTGCAGCAGCCAGGAGGCGAAGAATCATGATGATGACGATGATGATGATGATGATGATGAGGAGGAGGAGGAGGAGGAGAAGGAGGAGGAGGAGGAAGAGGAAGAACAACAGTGACAAACAGCTGCCAAACTGCTTTGTGTACACATGCATCTCACGCTTTTTCATTCGATCTCACGCTTTCTCATTCCATCTCACGCTTTCTCAGCCGCAGGCCCATGTACATACATCTCAATCTTTATGTTCCACTCTCAGATACGCTCAGAACGAAGAACAATTAAGCACTGAAGTATACTGGATTGAGGATTGGATAAAAAAAAAAGAAAAAAAAAAAAGGATTGAGGATTGGATTGACGATTGAATTGAAGACTTCTATGGAGAATTGAATATAGCGAGGCCAATCGCTAACCATCCTTGCATTTCAAAATGGAAGCGTCTGATTTATCGCCAGCGTACGCAAGAGCGCCCACGTGCGATCTATAAATAGAATACTACCGGTACCTTACTGTAATATCGAGGACACTTCGTGGTAGAATCCCCCCCCCCTCCCGGTTACTGTTGCGGGCAAAAAAAAAAAAAAAGGCGAAGATCCCATCATCCCAGAAGGGCGGGAACTTTCTCATCACAAGTACAGCGCGGACCCACACTCAAATAGCATAGCAACGCTCAAACAAACGCACGTATACCTTTCTCGGCCTTTTGGCTAAGATCAAGTGTAGTATCTGTTCTGATCAGTTTAATATCTGATCCGTGGTCCATCGGACCACATTAAAAAAAAAACAAAAAAAAAAAAACAAAAAAAAAAACGCACGTGGGTCCGCTCAAACGAACGCACGTGGGTCCGCTCAAACACGCACGTGGGTCCTCTGCTCCTTCCCCCCCTCCCCGGCGTTTCGGCTGGAGTCTCGGATGCACTTAGGAAGGGGAGTCTCAGATGCACTAAGGGAGAAGGAGTCTGAGATGCACTAAGGAAGGAGGAGGAGGAGGAGGAGGAGGAGGAGGAGGAGGAAAAGAAGAAGGAGAAGGAGAAGAAGGAGAAGAAGGAGAAGAAGAAGCACAAGAGTGAGAGAGGACAGAGGCCAAAACCGCTCGTCGTACATGCTTCCAACGAACAACAAGCATTACACTTTTTTTTTTTTTTTTTTTTTTTTTTTTTTTTTTTAGGCATTACACTTCTGCATGCACTGTACTCAGATCAGAAAACTAAGGGTCGGATCCAACTACCCTGGATTATTCATTTTGCACCCTCGATTACGAAGATCAACGGTCATAAATGAATGACAGGGGCTAGTGGGATCTGGCCCTAACACATTCCCCTCGGGCAGGTACAGTGCATCTGGCACTGCTCAGGGGCCTCCGTCCAAGGTCCGCCTTACGCCTCCACTTCGCTTTCCTACCAGTTTTGAGCTTAAAAAGAAGGGAGAAGAAGAAGGAATGCATCCACGAGCCGATCCCAAGAATCGAACACGAACACCTTTCTCGGCCTTTTTTTGGCTAAAAATAGATCAGGTGCAATGTATCTGTTCTGATCAGTTTAATGATCTGATCCGTGGCCCATCGGGCCACATTAAAAAAAAAAAAAAAAAAAAAAAAGATCGAACACGCAACCTCCCACTTGGGAGTTTTCAAGGACAGGCAGAAGAAGAATAGTGCAGCGGGCCAACTTTATTTGGTACACGCTCCTCCAAGCTCTTCATTACGTAGATAGCCGCGCAGACTGCCGTCTTCTCCTCCTCTCCCCCCCCCCCCACCCGCGAACACAACGCATCCTGAGAGCGATAGTATACAAGCTACCTTTCCAGCCCGGTGCAGCCAAAATGAGTGGTGCGCGTTGTGTTCGGGGAAGGAGGTAGTCTCAGCTACGCGCACGTTCCCTATCGGCTGGCTGCGCTCCGATCATCGTCAAGGAACCAGGAGGAGGAGGAGAAGGAGGAGGAGGAGGAGAAGGAGGAGGAGGAGGAGGAGAACCAGGAGGAGAAGAAGAAGAAGAAGAAGGAGAAGAAGGAGAAAAAGAACAGTAGTGATAAAGAGGAGGAGAAGGAGAAAAAGAACAATAGTGATAAAGAGGAGGAGAAGGAGAATCGTGATAGTGAGGCGAAATCAGTGTGGTTCCATGCTTGAACAGGAAGGGCCTGGAAGGCATTACAGTATCTGAAGGAGACGAGACCTCCATAGCCACGCTCTTGACTATTGCAGTTTCTCCAAGATGTTCTCGCTGGCTATGGAGGCTCATCAGCCTCTTCTGGGGGGGGGGGGGGGGTGTTGTTGCTAACCCAGCAGCTGCGGCTCCTCCTCTTATCACCCAACAAGCTCAAAGGGGGGATGAGAAGAAGGAAGAAAAAGAACAAGGAGGAGAAGGAAGAGATCAGAGAATAGAACAGAGAATATAGAATAGAGAAATAGAATAGAAAAATAGAATAGAGAATAGAATAGAGAATAGAATAGAGAACAGAATAGAGAACAGAATAAAATAGAGAATAGAGAATAGCATAGATTAGAGAATATAATAGAGTATAGCATAGAGAATAGAGTACAATAGCGAGGCCGATCGCTGAGCATCCATGCACAACAAATTACAAGTAGTACAAGTGATTAAAAGGTTAAACCACCCGCACTAACATGTTAAAGCGCAGAAGCGCACATTCCCCAGAACGAGGAGAGGAGAGGAGAGGAATTGCATCATCAGCGGCGCTGGCAGCAGGAGGAGGAGGAGGAGGAGGAGGAGGAGGAGGAGGAGGAGGAGGAGGAGGAGGAGGAGGAGGAGGAGTGGCAGCAGGAGGAGGAGGAGGAGGAGTGGCAGCAGGAGGAGGAGGAGGAGGAGGAGGGGGAATAGTGACAATCAGCGGTCAAACATTGCTTGTCCGCACATACATCTCGAGCATTTCCGAACAAATCCGCATGTGCAAGTCTCAGACCACGTGCAGATTCCCCCCCCCCCCCCTTTACGCACGTTCCCGTCCAGGTGCAGACCTGGCGGTCTTCAGCGGGCCTATCTACAGACTTGCCTCACGGCCCCACCTTTGTACAATGATGTCGAAGCACGCATTTTTGGAACGATGATGGCGATGGTGATGGTTATTATGATGATGATGATGGTGATGATGATGATGATGATGGGGATGGGGATGATGATGGGAATGATGGGGATGATTGGAGTGATGATGCTAATGGAAATACTAAACGATGAGGAACTGTGACGATAACGACAAAAATTAACTCTAGAGAAAGAGCAAAAAAAAGGAGGAGGAGGAGGAGGAGGAGGTGACGAAGAGGAGGAGATGTATTTAGTTAGACAGAAAAAAGAGGGAGATGTATGATTTATACTTTGGGCGGATTCGTGAGAGAAAATACTGTATGAGGCGCGCATGATAAAAACTTAGGAAAAAAAGGTTGGAGGAAAAAAAAAAATTTTTCAAAAAAAAAAAAAAAAAAAAAAAAAAAAAAAAAGGATTGTAAAGAAGCAATTAAAAAAAAAAAAACAAAGGAATAAAGAGAGAAAATGAGAACCGTAAGAAAGCGATTTCCGTGGTGGTCTGTGGAGAGGGGGCTATGGTGATGACGTGGCGGGGTGACGTGTCATCTGGAAGCGCGTTCGAGCGGTGGAGAGGGGAGGAAGCCATGGTGATGACGTGGCGGAGTGACGTGGAAGGGTGACAATTACTAGCTAATGATTACAGCAGGTAGGCGGATAGGCGGGTGGAAGATGACCCTTGATCCTAAACCCTAATTAGCCAGGGGGAGTGTGATGGAGATGCTGACGTGGACCAGCCCATCATGTAGGTGTCGAACGACGAGAGGAAGAGGGCTGCTACTGACCTAATTAGGCAGGGGGAGTGTGATGGAGAGAGGCTGACGTGGACCACCGTATCATACGGTGATGGAGAGGCTGACGTGGACGGAGGGTGTATGAAGAGAGTGGCGAGAGGAAGAGGGACTCTACTGACCTAATTAGGCAAGGGGGGGGTGTGATGGAGGTGCTGACGTAAGACCTGGGAATCATGAAGGGGTATATGATTGGAGTGTGTGTGAAGAGAAGGTGATACCCGCCCCATCAATAGAGGGAGCGACTAATTAGGGTGTAGTAGGGAGGGATGCTCATATCACCCCCCCAATAAGACCCTACAGGTTCTTTTTTTTTTTAAAAGGTGGAATTTCGCTGCGTCGGCGAGAGGAAGAGGGGCTAAAAGCCTAAAACTGGAAGGGAGGTCGCCACGGAAGAGAGAAATATGAAGGTTGAAGATAACTACTTATAACGGTGCGGGGAGAAAATTAATATGATGGTGGAGAGGGGAGGGACGGACGATTACGGTGATGGAGAGAAGAGGTGGTGATCATGATGATGATGATGATGGTGATGCTGATGATATGGGAAGGCTCAAAATGCTGACGTGGAGGCCGGAATAAGTACGATCGGACAGCGCCGCTGTAATATTGATGACGTGGAGGATGACGCGACGATGACGTGTGCAGGAGGATTTGGAAGTTGACATGGAAGATGACATGGAAGATGACATGGAAGATGACATGGAAGATGACATGGAAGATGACATGGAAGGAGGACGTGGAGGATGACGTGAGGAGGACGTGGAGGATGACGTGCAGGGACTACGGTAGGATAAAGTGACTAGTAGAAGGTGACGACCCCTTCTTTTTTTTTTTTTTTTTTTTTTTTGGGTTTGATCGTGAGGATCGTTAGACGATCTTGTTTTGTATTGATTGTGATGATCGTTCTGCGATCTTTTCCGTTTGTGTAATTCTGGCGATAAAGGAATGATCTATACTGCGTAGAGGGAGAAGGGAGGGTAACGATGAAAGAGTGGTGGGGTAAAGGCCACGTGGAGTGGATGGTGAAGATGGCAATGACGATGATGAGGATGATGATGATGATGATGATGACGATGACGATGATGATTTTTAGGAAGGAGGGGGTGCGATGAGGTGATCACTGGGGAGGCGAGGTTGACAGCGAAGGGGTCGAAGAGGTGATGCCTACGTGATGATGATGATGATGATGATGATGATGATGATGATGATGATGGCCGTCTTGATGATTTGGAGGAAGGAGGGGGGGGGGGGGGGGGGGGGGTGATGACGAGGTGATCAGTGGGGAGGGGAGGTTAGGGGTCGAGGAGGTTTGAACTGCAAAGGGGTCGAGGAGGTTACACAACTGCGAAGGGGTCGAGGAGGTGATGCCTACGTGATGATCACGTGATCACGTGGATGAGCGGGTTGTGACCACAAAATCCTAAACCCAATCGTAAAGCACTACAACCCTACGCGTAGCAAAAGGAAACTCCAACAAGGCGCCTCTGTATTGCACTGCAGCAGAGTGCGGGGCGGCCCAGCCCTCTTTGAAAGAAAAAAAAAAAAGCCAAAAGGAAAAGGAAAAAAAGATATCGGAAAAAAAAAGAAAGTCCAAATTAGCTACAAAAATAAAAGAACAATCACCTTAACTATATGGCGCTTTACTCCCTATCCACATTCTAAACTAACAGCATGCATGCATATCAGTTCACCTAGACTAAGTGCAGTGATCGGCACCTACGTGATGATCACGTGATCACGTGATCACGTGGTCACGTGGATGAGCGGGTTCTGACATACAGTAATAACGTGAAGCAGTGTGTCACAGCATTGACGTGGCGATGGGACTGATGACGTGGAAGTGTTGGTGGTGCTCCCTGAAAGGATGAAGGATGAAGGATGAGTGCCAATCACGGCACGCCATGATCAGAGCCGCAGACGACGACGACGGCGACGACGACGAGGAGTTTTGTAATTGGACAACGAATTGGAAAAGAGAGAAAGCCAAAAATTGAAAAAAAAGGCGGGAAAAAAAGGCGGGAAAAAAAGCATGAGCAGCCGATGGCGATGAGTTCCAAAATGCATAGCAAGTGTTGAAAAAAGGCGGGAAAAAAAAAAACGATAGAGAAAAAAAAAAGAGAAAAAGCTGAAAAATAGAACGAAAGAGGAGAAATGGAGACCAAAGGGAAATCCTGCATTGCCGTCTTCCCCCGATCATAACGCACCCTGACAATGGATGTATGCAAGCTTTATCTGGGGTCAGGTACACAGCCAAAATGAGGGTGCGTTGTGTGCGGGGAAAGACGGTAGTCATCGGGATATTTCTGGAGCGGACGATTATTATTATTATTATTATTATTATTTTAATTATTATTATTATTATTTTCTTTTTTCTTGCCTTCCTTTTTTGAATGTGGCCCGATGGACCACGGGAGAGAAGATATCAAACTGATCAGAAGAGAGACAATTCACTTTATATCTATTTTTAGCCAAAGGGCGAGAAAGGTACGAGGACGATGATTATGATGATCGGACGATTATTACTATTATGATCATGATGATGAGGTTTTGTGAGGGAGTCGTCAAGGAAAAAAATTGTTGATGATGATAATGACCTGGAGGCGGAGATACTGACGTGGGGGGAACGATACGATGGAGGAACGATGTTCGAGAGGGAGTGGTGATGATGATGACGTGGCAGGGAGGATATGGTGATGACGTGCAGGTAGGATATGGTGTGATTGAAAGATGAGCTGTGGTGGGGGTCGATGATGACGGCGAGGTGATGACGACGTGGAGGAGAGAGATGACGACGACGTGCAGGAAGAGTTTAGGGTTTAATCATGAAGGACGTTGGAGAAGGGGGGTAATTTTGATGACGTGGCACAGC